TGCGACAATTGTAAGAATCTACCGGTTGCCTGAATTAAAACAAACAATCAGAGCCAAGAAAGATAGAAAGGTGCTCTGGGTTGGTTGATTGTTGAGTTTGTTGGTATTTGACGACCTGGGATTAAGACTCCACAAACTATCTTTCTTGGCTCTTATTGGTTATTTTTGTTCAGGCCCGGTGGATTCTTATGCCATTAGGAGTACTAGGACTGTACCAAGCATATTCTCACTGTTTGGTTAGAGAAACAGTCCTGGTAACACCCCTGTCTGTGTGTTCCTGCCTGTTCAGGTACTGGCTGCAGTCCGGATTTGCTCTTTTTCCTGTGTGCCATGTATGCTCCTATCTGCACCATCGACTTCCAGCATGAGCCCATTAAACCCTGTAAGGCAGTATGCGAGCGGGCCAAGTCCGGCTGTGAGCCAGTGATGAAGCGTTACAACCACAGCTGGCCCGACAGCCTGGCCTGCAGCGAGCTGCCGCTGTACGACCGCGGAGTCTGTATCTCACCTGAGGCCATCGTCAAGGCAGAGGGACCAGGTATCACTACGTTTATCCTTTGTATTATTTTTATAATCATCTTGTTTTTGGAGTTTCGCTTCCGTTCAACAATTAATGCTGGTTGAGATTCAGATCTGATTTTGGAGCTTTATCTCACCACACGCTCCATGTGGTAGCTGTTCTGGTGCTACTAAACAGCTGCTAATGTACTTTGTGTTGAGACTGTTTTCTCAACTGTTTTTGAGCTCAATATTTAACTTTTAGCTTTGGCTTTTGGCGAACATGGACAGTAATATCCTGTGGAAGTGCTTTGAAGAAATGGGCATTTTAAAATCAGCATAATTTCCATGACAAATGGGCAATTGACATCTGCTAATGCAGATTATTTGATGTGATTAAAAAGCACCAGAAGAAGCTACATACTTAATGAACTTTGTGGTGAGATCAGGGATGCTGGAAGTCAAAGCACAGTTGGGGGTGCTGTGAAAAGGTCAGTCTGTGTAATGACACAAATAATTAAATAAGACAGCAAACTTTCATGTTAGCAGATGAGAGCAGGAATGTGAAAATTAGGTGAGGCTGGCAGAGACTACCAGCAATAGTATAGGTAGACTGCATTGCTGTCCAAGGTTAAAATATTTAAACTTTTTGCCATCCTCTACGACGGAATTTATACCCCGATGTTACCTAGCTCCCTCAAAACACCAAACTCCATCAAAACATGGATAATCAGGAGAAGCTAATAATTAAATAATTACATAAAATAATGTAGATGTAACATTAAAATGTATTTAATATATTTTATTAAATTCAATTTAATTCAATTTTATTTGTATAGTGCCAATTCATAACAAACGTTATCTCAGAACACTTTTCAAATAGAGCAGGTCTAGACCATACTCCTGATAAAATTATTTACAGAGGACCAGCAGTTCCCACCATGAGCAAGCGACGGCAGCAAGGAAAAACTTACTTTTAAGAGGCAGAAATCTCGAGGAGACCCTGGCAACATATTTTCATGTGTGTTTAATTTTGTTTAATTTAATGTGTCCTGCCATTGCATCTAACTGTTTGTCTTGTGCCACCCAGGGGGTGTTGATCTGTCTACCATCTGCCTGAATCCATGTGAATGCAGCATAAAGGATGTGCGATATTCATGTTTTCCGTAGTTTCTCCCTCAGATGAAGTGAATGAGTTGCAATCTACAACTACACCACTAGATGCCACTAAATCCTACACACTGGACCTTCTGTCCAAAATAAAATAATTCAGTCATGACGACAACATCTGGCAATAAAATTGAATAAAAGAGAGAGAATGTCAAACACAGTGACTTTTTCCCTCATTAATGGGAATGTGGTCCGATTTCAAATTGCAGGAAAGTGAGATGACATGTTATTATACCATGGTCTAAGTGGCTGCAGTGTGTCCATTAATTCCTGATGTAGGACAAGTAGTCAAGTAGTTCCAGTGAAGCTGTCTGTTTACCATTCTGAATTAACGCGCTGAAATAAATGAAATAAAAACTATCTGTATCTTATTTACAACACTGAGTGTAGTCCTTCAGTGCTTCACACCACAGGATGGCAACTGCAACACACAAGCCTCTACCCTGCCCCTTTGAATTATATGTTTCATACTCTGTATAAGCAATCCTCTTATATCCCACTGGCTATTCAACTCGCTACTTGAGGCTGCGGCTGACAGTAAGTTACACATGTCCTATCATTTGTTCATGAAATATGATATTGATTTGGGGACAATGACATGGATAGCTAGCTAGTCTTGTTTATTTTATTTTATTTAATGTTTATTTTGCAGGGACAATGCATAATACATGTATTGTACCAGAGATAGCTAAAAGCTAATTTTCAACTGTTGTCCCTGGATGGAGGCCACTAGTGCTGCACAGATTACAGAGATTAAAGATCAGCAGTGAATCAGAACCTTGTACTTTATAAACAAAAAAAAATCAAGCCAAAATAAAACACTGTTATGTTATTAAACTTTTGAACATTGCATGGTATAAGCAGAATAATGCCCTTTGAGGTGTCTATTATAAGGACTTAATGGACTCCTCGTCTGGGATTATCTTTTACAGGCTGACTTTTGAAAATTTTAAGCTGACTCGATTTAAAACTAGAATCTTGTAAAAATGGTCTTAAATTAGAGCTTTGATTGGACCCAAAAACTCAGGCCTGGCCCCACCCGAGCATTAAAAAAAGGCTGAACCGAACCTGAACCACAGAAGCAGCTTTGGGCCCAAAACCGGCAGGTCGGGTCAGGCAGAGCATCAATCAATCAAGCCTTCCTTAAATATGCACTGAATGCCTACATACATGATATCGTTCTAAAAGACTGTTGCTAAATCTAGCACATCCCAGGTGAGTTCATTTGTATAGTACCTATCGTCAACACAATTTTTGTTTATGACGAAAATAAATAGACTTTGTGAAAGTTAAAATGTATGTAAATAGCACAATGAATCATCCACAGATCAGTACAATATATTAGGATTTTGAAACAATAACATACAATATTTATGTTTTTACCTGATACTGATAAGACCAATCTTTACATAAATCTCATAGCAAAAATATGACATTCTTATTGAAGAGAAATATAGAAAAAAAACCTACCTTAAATAAGTCAGTCTATCATTTTATAATGATAACAAGTTTGTGGAGAGACAACAGGTAGAAGGAGGAACAGTACACAAAACATCTCACATATATACTATCTAATATCAGCAATTTTTTTAATTTTATAAACTTATTTTCCTGTAAAAGTCTCAAGATGCAGGGTACTTCTGAAAAATATATCACTCTCTTCACTGAAAAACATCAGGAAGCAGTTTCCCCTGCTTAGCTAAGCCTTATTGGTGTTTTCTATCATGTTTCTACTCTCAGCAGTTTGTTTCTGCTCCCTCTTGACCAGATATAGCGTGAGTCATTTCCCCTTCAACTTCACTCCCACTGACTTTCTCAAAGAACTCCTTGATACATGTGGCCCACTCATTTTACACTCAATAAAACCCTCACTGTCCTCTGCTTCTTTAAACAGGCCTTGGACCAGCAAGTCCTGAAGAAAAAACTAATCTCAATCCCCTTGACCTCCTTAACGATACACCCACGTATCCCTGAGCTGCCCTGGCTCGGCTCAGCTCAGCAGGGTTTTGGGATTTTCCCTGTGATTTTTTGATTTGCTGAGGTTCAGTCAGGGTGGATTGCTCAAGTCATTTCAGTGAATGCTAGTGGCACTCCAGTCAGTAGGTCACTGTTCTAAAGTAGCCACAGTTCAATAGAATCCAATGAAAAGTAATCTTTGCAAGTGACAGCGGGTGATGAGTAAACAAGACTATAAGTCTAGCAGCTCTATGCAGCTGTACTTACACAGTGTGTTCGTAATGTAAGAATTCTAATACTATAATATAATAATAATACTGAATGATCATATTAACAAGCTGATGTTTAGCAGGTCACCATTTTAGTTTAACATGTTAGTTTGCGAAGCACTAAACTAAGTACAGCTGAGGTTGATGAGAATGTCATTAGTTTTGCAGGTATTTGGTCATAAACTTATTGGAGAAAGTTTAAAGTCTGAACTGCTGGTTGCTGAAAACTAAAAACTCATAACATCATGCTGTCAATAGAGTTCAAAGTCAACGAATTACCACTAGTCAGTAGGATTCATTTTTTTGGCCACGAAAAGCGTGAAAAACGCCCCTATCTTTCCCTATCTAGAGCCAGTGATTGGTCCTTTCTAGGCTACTGTAGAAGCATGCGGTCCAACATGGCCGATTCCATCGAAGGTGATCCATGGCGTCTGTGGATAAAAACAATTCCTATTGGTAATAAATAACACAGTAATGAAAACATAGTTATGCATAGTATATTCCTGCCAATAGATCTTCCTTTATGTTACACACTGGACCCATAAAACTTTAACTAAATCAACGCTAACTTTTGGTTTCACACGGGAGATGAACTCCTGTGTCTCCTGGGTAAAGTCATGTGTTTCTTTGACCCATCTGTCCACCCCAAACACTTCCTTACACAGACTTTGTCGCTTTTTCCACTACATCCCCTGATGCGAATGGGTTACACTGGAGTCAAATGAAAGGGTACCTTGTGCATCTGTATGAATGAGACACAGAGGGACATGACAAAACATTGGTACTGACTCCCAAGGAATGAGAATGGGCTGTCCAGCTGGACGTACCCAAAAAACATATTAAGAGAGGCGTCCTGACCAGATGCTTGAATCACCTCAACTAACTTTTTTCTTTGTGAATGAGGGTGGTACGAGCCCATTCTGGATGTCTGTGCTCCCCCCTCTGTCTTTATGGATGCACCCCGGCCAGCACTTTATGGTCACTACCCAAAGCTGATAACAATCGGTTTGAAATGTATATCAGTTTTACCACGAGAGTTCGATACAGCATCCACATCATGGATGACGCCACACCAATCCACCTGTTGATCCTCGATGGCATTGAAACGGAGACCCAGATATACTTGAACTCCTTCACTTTGGGCACCAATTTACTCCAAACCCTTAGGGTAAACTTTACATCCTATAACTCCACTACTGGTAAGGCTTTAACAACAGCTAAATAATCAGCAGTTGTTTAGTCTGTCCAACGCTCCCTGACATTAATGGTTGTAATGAACATTGCGGCCCCTAGGGGACTTATGAGTGTCTGGTTAAAAGACGATTTAGTATTTGTTCTTCTCTTGTTTTCTGATGAACTGTTCTGGTGTCCTAAGCATTGCACCTTTGTGTCAAACTGCTTGAACATCTTCCCCTTTTCCTATTGCACAAAGTCAATAAAAGGGAATGTGTTTTCTTTCTGTTCTGACACTCACTGGTGCCTCTCTGTGTCTCTGTAGATCCATACTACCAGGACCCAGCCAGGTGTAATCCAGGTGAGGCTGACCTTTGACATTCTCTCGGCCCAAGCTGTAAATGTTTTCCTAGAAGCTAGCCTGTTTTATCAGCTGATTGATATACATTTTATAAGATTAGACACATCATCAAAAACAGCGTTTGGACCACATTTCCACAAATGACAACAATGCAGCCAGTCAGTGACAGATGCTTCCGGAAACCGTATTTCTCTCTAACATGCTGAGTTGCATCTGAACATAACCAGTCTAGAAACTAAAGTTTATCTTGAGATTTGCTAAAGAACTGATCTATTCTGGATTTGATCCTCTGACAGAATCCAGTCCAGACTTTCCAATGGACTCCAACAACCTCCACTGCAGAGGACCAAATGGAGGTAACCTTTTAGTTAACCTGTCTCTACCTCTGTTCCAGTTCAGTCTTCTTCTCCTTGGAAGGCCTTGTTTTTTAGAGAACTGAAGGTTAAAGGAATAGTTCAACATTTTGGGAAATACCCTGAGAATATTGAGTCATATGAGAAAACAATACAATTCCCATGTCTGAGCTAAAGCCAGTAGTCTATTAGCTTACCTTAGTTTAGCACAAAGACTGGAAACAGGGCTACATCTGGCCTTGCTCTGTCCAGAGGTAACAAAATCAACTAGTAATTACGACACTCAAAAAATGGTAGGAAGTAAATGTAGTGCATTAGGTAGCAAATGTGTAAGAGATAACGCCTGACAAGGTGTCCATTATCAGGAAAAAAAATAAAATTAAAAAATTAAAATTAATTAAATGTTATATTTGTGTTATATTATGTTTTGCAATCAGCTCCATTTTCAATTTTCCAGCCATCTCATTGTCCCCAAATCAATATCAATACTTTTTCAAACAAGTTTAAAGGAATATGTAATTTGCTGTCGGCCACACCCTAAAGTAGCAAGTTGCATAGCGAATGGAATGTGAGATGATCAGAGTATCAGTAAGTAAGTTCAGAAGGGCAGTACATCATCCTGTGGTGTTCAAAGGATGAGGCACTGAAGGACAGTGTTGTAAATATGATAATCCAATTTTTTTCCCCTTTTAATTTACTCATCAGGGTGTCTGCATCCAGCTGGTGCCAATGCTGTGGATTACTTTAGAATGGTGAACAAACATTCATTGGAACTACTGGAACGAGATGTTTTATAACAAAAATTAATGGACACCCTGTGGCCAATCAGAATGGAGTATTCACCCAGACCATGGTATAAGAGAGCGATGGTAGTATCTTTTATTAATTTGCCAAATGTCTTTTGCCAAAAAGGCAAACACATTTAAAGGACCACCAGTGGTAGGATTTAGTGACATCTAGCGGTGAAGTTACAGATTGCAAACAACTAAGCTGTGAAGTGTGTAGGACATACTACTTTGGCCACGAAACATGCTAAAGGCCCCATCTACAGCCAGTTTGGTTTGTCCGTTTTGGGCTACTGTAGAAACATGGCGGTTCAACCCGTGGCGCCTGTAGATAAAAACAGCACATTCTGAGGCAACAAAAACACAATGATTTCTATATTCAGGTGATTATATACTAATGAAAATATAAAATGCATATAATATTCCATTTGTGCCAGAAAATCCTCCTATATATTACACACCAAACCTTTAATGGATCTATTGCTATGTTTTTCACCCTCACACAACCAACAACCACAGGACTGACTTAGGTTCTATCTTGAATTACAGTGAACACTCGCAAGCTGTGAACTTCTTTCCCGTCTCAAGCAGTCATCCCATGTGACGTGAATCAGTCTGGAAACATAGATTTTTAAGGAAGCAGAGCCTGAACGGTTTTTGTATGTCTGTTCCCATGATCATCCACTTTGTGTGTGTTTATGTGTCATTAGATCGCTGTAGATGTAAGCCAGTCAAAATGTGTCAGAAAACCTACCTGAGGAACAACTACAACTATGGTGAGTCACCTGGGACTTACTACAGTTTTTACAGTTAAGAGACAGAAGATAATTGTATTTTAGTCTGTTACATACTCATGTGGTCTGACACCTGACAGCCAATCATCATTTCTCAAGGCTACATGTGAGATATCCCTCATAGATATATTCAACAGTTGTGAAGACTCATTACTTCACTCGTTTAAAGCCTTAACTGTGCTGCTAAGTGAGGTTGTTAAGAATCTTTTTAGTATCACTAAACTCTTCAGCGGATTCTTTCTCTCTGACCCGTTGCTCTCCTTCATGCAGAAGGAAAGATTTTGTTGCAGAGGCTGTCAGGTTACTTATTAAATTAGACACAAAAAAAGCTAAAAGGCTAGAAAAGCTTTTCCAGATGATTACAGTGCACAGGCATGATTTGGCAAATCCAACAGAGATTTCCATATGGACTTCTTGAGCCTGCCAATGCTTCTGGCAACAGAATCCATTTAGGGAAGATTTTAGATTTTTTTTCCAGTCATCATTTAAAAAAGCTCACTTTCAAAATATTCACATATAATTAAAGCAGAGGAGCACGGTGGCATGTCAGGGGGCACAGCAAGGTGGTCTTTATAATTTGACTGCTGATTTTACTGTTGATTCCAACCTGTTACAACACACTGTTCGTGCTTGTGCTGCTTCCTCCTCCATATCTGCAGGTTCCACCTCTTCTGGTTTCTTAGTGCCATACTCGCAATGCTGTCCCTGTTCCTGTGCATTATGTTAATTTCAATTCAATTCAATTCAATTTTATTTTTATAGCGCCAAATCATAACAGAAGTTATCTCACGACACTTTTCAAAATAGAGCACGTCTAGATCGTCCTCCTAAAATTATTTACAGAGACCCAACAATTTTAATTAATTTTATTTTTTGTCTCTGCTCTGTTGCTCCTGAAGCTTTTGTTGCATTTTCCTCACAGTCTCACGCTGCTTAAATTCATTAAGGGAGCATTTTCTGAAAAAAACAAGCCTTCCATTTGTAGCTGGTGGTTTCCCACAATGGGCTGCTGCTGTTGGGTATCTTGGACAGTTACGTCAGTTGCCCAGGAGACAGTGACTGAGACAGACAGGATGGACCAAAGTTACTAGTGTTATTGGCATCTGAGGGTGCCTCAGTTTCAGTTGTTGGAACTGAGGTAGGAAGACAGAAAAAGAGTTTAACAGTCCATTCCAGTTTCAAATAGGACAACTACAAGACAATTACAAAATTGAAACAAAGGTGTAACAGCTCACAGAAATTTAAAACATCCAATGGGTCCACTGGATCCTTTTTAATCCAAAATCCACTTTTGGGCATGATGGAAACATACAATTATCCAGCTGCAGTAGGTAACTTTTATAAAAAATAACCTTTGGTTATTTTTGCAGAAAATGTCACCATATCCTGACAGTAGTACATGAGACAGATAATCTTTGGAAACATCAGTTTTAGGCATTTGCAAGTCCACTGCACCTAAATGAAAACAACCAGTCAGAACCACGAGGAGTGTCTAACGTTGTGTCAATCACTCCACATGCTGTGCTGACAACTCCCCTGCACATGTTGCTCGCTTCAGGACGAGACTTTTTCTTCTAAGGTTGCCTATCAAAGACCAATGATGACGTCCACTTCTTTAGCTCCCTAGTGGTAGTGGTGGTAGCCATGACTGTCTTTGTCCTGGCTCCTTTCTGCTGTCTTCTGGTAGAGAAGCTTTGCAAACACAGACGCAAGCAGCAAAAAAAACGGCCCATCCCTCCTTTGCCAACAACAGTGTGAAGCTTTGCATTTATTATGTTTGATGTCATAGTGCTTATATCGAAGAGTGGCATGATGGCATTGAGGAATAACTTTAGCGGGAAGACGTGTGTGTGGTGTAATAAAAAAAGACAAAAAAGTCTACTAGCCTAGCATCTTTCTCTGGCACAAAGCATTTCCTTTTCCTTGTTAATAGATAGAATAGGCAACCGGCTACTGCTCTGCTGTGATTTTTGGTGGGAGGGGCTTAGCAGTAATATGAGGGAGAGAGAAGGTTTTGCATTGTGTAGGTTCAAGTTACCTACTGCAGCTTTAAAACCAGCTGGACAGGGTGACTGAATACAGCCAAAAAGATTTGCGTGTCCTCTGGCAATACAGAAGTCTGGAACCAGGCCAGGGCAAATTTTAATAATGACTCAAGGTTTTATTTTTTAATCCAAGGGTTTAAAGAGCCTGACTTGCCATCTGCCTTGTGTCCAGTCTCCAATGTGTCCATGTATGCTGATGACTGTCTCCTTCAGTGATCAGGGCGAGGGTAAGGGAGGTGAGGAATCGCGGTATGGAACCCACAGCAGTGGTGGATGTGAAGGAGGTGCTCAAGTCTTCTCTGGTCAACATTCCCAAGGACACACAGACACTCTACTACTCATCCTCTTGCTTGTGTCCTCCTCTGTCTCCTGGAGAGGAGTACATCATTATGGGCTACGAGAGCGAGGAGACATCCAGGTATGAGCAGTATTAATGAGTAAGCATTATTATTGACGTCAGGGTTTCCTCCAAGACATATCAGCACCTAGCTGTGAATGAATCACATAGAACATGACTCATCTCTACTCCTCCTCTATGCAGATCAAAGTAGACTCATGCAATAAATAACATGTTTATACTGTGTGATGTTGTTTTACTACTACTTGTTTCCCTTGTTTCGCTTAGTAAGCCTAATATAATGTTTCATGAAATTGTAATAATTTCTAATTATGTTTGTGAGGTCACCTCCGCTATATAACGCTGCATAAACCTCACTCTGTGTTTGTGGTTGCAGGTTGCTCCTGATTGACAGCTCCATTGCTCAGAAGTGGAAGGACAGAATGAGCAAGAAGGTCAAGGTGCGATTCACATTCACACCAAATGCACACAGACTGATGGTTTCAGAGCAGCATCTCATGTTATTTTCTTTGTGAACAAACCTGCAGCGGTACAGGTGAAGGCTTTTAAAGGTCATACTAATTTGTTTTGAATTGAACTGTATTAAAGGGGAACTTGGCAAC